GAGGCTGTACATTGCCTTGTTGGAGTCAATAGGACAATAAGATAATTCAATAGGACAGAAACAGTCCTTGATAGCTTCCCTCTTGGGATGGGTCTGGTGATGATTTGTGTTCTCACCTGGAGCATTCTCCCAGAATCCCTTCAGATAGAAATCAATAACAGAGAATAGAGCACAGACCTAGAGAGGTGAGCAATTGCCCTGTTGTGTATTTGAATAACTATGAGAAGGGGAAAAGGAGAGGAAAAGTGGAATTTTCCCAGGGCCATAGCAATAGTAGGGAAGACTCTCAACTCAATTTTTCAAATATATTAAAAAAAAGTAACCACTCATTATATATCTATTCCTATGGTCCCAGTCCTCAAGAACTTTACAGTATTAGAAAGAAAGGAGGAGCCAGAACTCACAGGAAATGGGTAGGTAACCCTACTATATACTAAGTGCCCAGCAAATAGTGCAGACACAATGTGCCATGAGAAGCCAGAGTGAAAAGAGAGGACTATGACCAAGAGTAATTAGAGGATTCACGGGGAAATACATATTTGAGCCCTGGAAAAAAAATAGATAGGATTTTAATAGACAGAAGGGCATTCTAGGAGCAGTGCACCACATAAGCAAAGGTATAGTGTTGGGAATGAGTATGGCCATTCCCAGGGCTAAGTAAGGAGACAGACTTGACTGAAGTAGATTATGTGTGTTAAGAAATAGTGGGAAACAGGACTAGATAGGATAAGTAGAAGTCTTGAAAACCAAAGTGGAAAGGGTTAGACATTGCCTTGTTTTCTTCAGGAGACAAAATGCTGTCCAGGACTCAAGGACAGTATGGAAAGACATTTTCTCTTCTCTCTCTTCCTAGCCTCCTTAAAGGAATTAAGACTTTTTCCATTGTTATTTCCTTACAACCTCTAGGGGGCAGGGCAGCATTACTAATAGTACAAATGCCTCCCTAAGGTTACAAGTCGCAAGAAAGCAGCACATTTGGATTTATTGAGAACTGGTTGGGAATAGATCATAGATTTAGTGAGACAAGGGGTTTAGAGGCCATATAGTCCAACACTTTCATGTTACAGATAAGTAAAATGAGGTTTACAGAGGTCAAATGACTTGCCCAAGGTAACTCAGGTACTCTGCATCTGAGGTGCTCCAAGAGAAGCTGGGACTTGTTTCCTTCAGCTCTGGGGAATGGAGGCCTCTTTGTCAAATGAGCTGTTGGCCCTTGGGCCAGCTAGTGGGTCTGCCTACCTCAAATGTCTCCCTACTCCAATCCAACCTCCATTCAGTCACCAAAGTGATTTTCCTAAAGCAAGGTTCTGATAATGTCATCTCTCCCCCTACTCAAGAAACTCTGAAGGATAGATATTCCTATCACCTCCAGGGTCAACTGTTTGGCATTGACAGCCCTTTGTAATCTTCTCCTCTCCTACCTTTCCAGTTTTCTTCCACCTTCCATCCCTCCCCCTCGTACTCTGTGATCCAGGGGCACTGGTCCTCTTGCTGTTTAATGAACAAGATACCCACCCGTCTGCTCTGGGCATTGTCTCTGAATGTCACTCTGGGCATTGTCTCTGAATGTCACTCGTGCCTGAAAAACTCTCCGTCCTCCTCACTGCGTACTGTCTTCCCTGACAACCCGTTAGTCCCAGCTAAAATCCTGTATGGGGTCTTGACCCACAGTTTAAGAAGCACTGAAAAGGTTGTGAGCGGAAAAAATTTAAGAAGGCCTGTTCTAGAGGAAACCTTTCCCAACCCCTCTTACTTCTAGTGCCTTCCTTTTAAAATTCTTTCCTATTTATCCTGTATAAAGCTTGTTTATACACATTTGTTTGTTTGTCCCTTACTAGCTCCTTGAGGGCAAGCACTTTCTTTTGCCTCTTTTTATATCCCCAGAGCTTAGGACAGTGCCTGCCATATAGCAGGCTCTTAGTAAATGTTTATTTACTGACCTTCCCTTCCCGCCTCCAACTACTTCTTCTTGATACAGCCTATGCTTGATGTGTTCTGTTAAACACTGTATTTGGCAGAACTGATCTTATTTCTCATAAAAGGCAGTGGTCGGCCTTGTCCTCACATTTCTTGTTCCTTTGTTCATAGCATGAGAGTATGAGCATGGCTCTAGGAGCCACATAGGAAAAAGGAGGCATTTCTCAGGCCAGGACTGAAGTCACAATGCAGGCACATTGTTTGAGAGTTTTTGATCTTTAGCTAGAGACACAATCATAAAACATTCACATATTTCATAACTGTACTTTCAAAGGACAGAATTTCTTTGAACATTGGACCTTCTTAAATCAGCCACCTCAGACATGAGCCTAATTCAGTGACCTCTGGGATTATATAAACTCTCAGACTCTCAAACTCTCAACTTAGCTTTCTTTATATTCCATATGTGTGTGTACATATATGTATATGTATATGTATATGTATACGTATACGTATATGTATATGTATATGTATATGTATATGTATATGTATATGTATATGTATATGTATATGTATATGTATATGTATATGTATATGTATATGTATATGTATATGTATATGTATATGTATATGTATATATGTATGTACGTATGCATACTGGAGCCAGCCCCTATTAGTTCTCAAGATCCAACTGTTAAATTTTTAGTGTGAATATTCAAATGCTATTCTTCTCTTGGAATTTTATTAGATGCCTTCATTCTGAACTAATCATGTGTTCTGGCTCAACTGATTGATAGGTGCCATGAGCTATGGATGGGAGCCAATGGGAAGTGAGTTCCCTCCTTGCTTTTTTTTTTTAATTTTGGAAGCAATGGGAGTTAAGTGACTTGCCTAGGGTCACATAGCTAGCTAGTATGTATCTGAGCCTAGATTTGAACTCAGGTCCTCTTGACTCCAGGACCAGTGCTCCATCCACTGTACCACCTACCTGGCCCCTCTGGCCCCTCCCCTCCTTGTTCTTGAACTGCTTCTTCCCATCTAAAGGCTTTTGCTCATACTGTCCCCTCGGGCTAGAATGGATCCCATCTTCCTCTGTTGAAGAGCCTCCTTTCTTTCAAGTTCCAATTTACATCTTCCTTCTCCATGAATATTTGGTTGAAATCTCCTTCCTGCCAGCTGAAAGTTATTTCACTTTCTCTAACTTCTCATAGAATGTTAACTGGACATTTCCATGAATGCTTTATTTCATTCTCCCTTATATTATAGTTACTTGTGCACTTTTCTTTGGCTAAATAGATTTGTCTTTGTCTCCTTGGTGTCTAGCACAGTGCTGGGCACATAATAAATACTTAAGAAATGTGTATTGATTGACTGTAAGTTCTTTGAGAGATGGGTATGTGTATTTATGTTTTGCATACACCTTATCTATAGCAGGTGCTTAGTAAGCGTTTGTTCAAATGAGTTATTTCTCACTTCCAAATAAAGATTCTCCAGATTTTTGCAGAAGGGAAGGTTGTGCTACAAATAAAGAAACCAAATGCTATAGATTCTGAGTGAATGTCATGTCTGCCTCAGTGATCTTGTTAAGAGAAGCTAGCTAAAGGTATTTATTTGTTAAGCACTTACCACGTCCTAAAGTCGTGCTTGGATACAAATACTAGCATAAGGAAAGTGACCCCACATGTGGAAAGAGAGAGAAAGGGGGAGAGAGAGAGAGAGAGAGAGAGAGACAGAGACAGAGACAGAGACAGAGACAGAGACAGAGAGACAGAGACAGAGAAAGAGTTAGTTCAAATGTAGGTGAGTCCCCATGGGATGCAAGAGGTTGTCCCCCCACCTATAGCATAGTGGTGTCCTGGTGTGGCTCAAAGGGAGGCAGAATAGACATCTCTAGCCTGCCCCCCCTCTCCACACCCCACCCCACCTCCACTTCTCCTAGGGAGACTTTCATTCCTGTCAGGAGAAGGAGCAGGAAGCTGGGGCCAAAGGCTACTCTGGTTCTCCTCAGAGAGGGGGAGCATCAGGCTAGAATTATGTATATCTATTATTAGTTCAGGGGTTATGACCAGGTTCTATCTAACAATAAAGAACAATTAATTCGGACCCCAAAGACCTGGTTTTGGATCTTTGCTCTCTAATTTATTGCAAGTACTTTTTTGTAAAATGAGGAGGTTGGGCTGAATTTCCCTTGTGGTGCCTTTTAGCTCTTAATCTTATCCTAGGGGTAGAGGAGGGAATAATGTCTTCAGATCTAAAACTAGGATGGCTGTGCTTGGGGTTTGCCTTAGGGCACAAACATTTAGAAGAGACAAAAAGTTAACACTTGAACTCATGCCACAGCGCAGCAGCCAAACTTCCTGTTCAACAGAGTTTGTCTTTGTTATTTAGATTCTTTTTCATTCCATGAATTATGAAATTAATGTGAAAATGTGCCATTCTTGGCTTAACTTGGCCCCATTCACATTACTTGTTCTGCATGTCAAAATTCCTAGAAATATCTCCAATCATCCCTGTCTTTTACACAACAGGAAACAGATCCAATAAAATTAAAGGGCTTGCCAAAAGTCATTGACAAAGCCAGGAGTAGAATTCAAGACTCCTTCACGGTCTTGTAATTTTTTGCAATATGTTGTATCCTCTAAAACTTGGGAAGGGGGTTTGAATATTGATAGCCTGGAATCAGTCTTCTGTTCATAATTACTTGGGACAGTTCAGAATCTCACAGTAGTGGCTATTACTCCCTCTTCCCCCTCCCTGTTCCCCTCCCACCCCCACTCCCCACACATTTCTACTGGTCCAACCACTTACTCTACTCTGTACCTTTTAGAGCCTAAAGACTGTTCCTTTTCCTTTTCACAACAACTACAGCTACCTGTCTCTCCCTGATTTTTCTTCCCTGCAGAATTCCTACCCTCATCCCATTCCCTCACTGCCTAGCACACCAGGCAACAGAGAAGTAACAACAGGAGGGCAGTGTGTATGTGTGCGTTCTCTACTGATATGAAGGTTCTGGCTCCTCCCTCCATCTGGATCACTCATGGCACTGAGTAGGTTTCATTTTCCTCTCAGTCATGTGGTTTCTTTTTAAAACAAGAGTATTAAGCATCAGTCCCTGAGGGAAGAAAAAGAAGGCTGCTGATCCAGGAGAGACAGGAAGAGAACTGACTTTCTCTCCACCAAGAGCTTTTTCCTTCTGGTGGATTCTATGGTAACTGCATTGGGAGGAAACTGGGTGCCTGGCAGTAAGTAGAAGACATTTAGCCTTCCTAGGAGAGTAGGAGAAGCAGGCTGGGATCAGGTTGAAAGTGGAGAAGCTGAAAGTGTCCAGAGCCAAATGGACTTCACTGAGCTATTGTCTGTCAAAATATGCATGTGGAATGTGTTTGAAACATGAATGGATTCGAAAGTGACAATTCTTTCAGAAAGAACTCCAGATCAGGGCAATTGTATGCAGATTGGGAAGATGGCTGCCTGCCTGGTCAGGGATACTGAGAAGGTTCAAACATCTCTCCCTGGATACCCACAATCCAGCAAATGGGCCAGAGCCTTTCGTTCTACAGAGAAAGCTTGAAATCAAATCTTTCCCAAAGAGAGAACCAAGTCTCTGTTTACACCGATGTGTCAACTGCTATCTGAGACTTTCCTGAGAGCAGGTTCTGATTCGGTGGGAGGATAGAGGCTAGACATTTAGTTTTGAAAGGAGGATGTGAGTGTGTGTGTACGTGTGTGTGTGTCTGCTGCGCCTGCGTGTGCACAGACAATATGTATGTCTGTGAATAAGAAAGGGGAAGATCCTGTAAGGTGCAAGTATTTAAATGCAAACTTCTCTGACTTTTTTTTTTACAGCTTTTTCTGGAGATCTTAGGGGTCTGGGGTATAGCAGGTAGGAAGGAATCTAAAGGATCACTGAGAAAGCCCTCCACCTGGTATCTCCTTTGGCCACCATTCTGACCAGCTCACCAGCTCACTTGTGACCAAGAGCTGAAGACTTGTTTCTTTCAACAGACAAGCTCTGTTCAGGGCTCAATATGTAGCTCCAAGGCTAAGCATTGACTATGCTGCCAGCTTCCAACACTGGATTTGCCTGGAAGGTGTCAGAAGGGAGTGGAATGGGGGAGATGGAGGGGATGGAGGGGGTGGAGGGGATGGAGGGGGAGGAGGAGAGGGCCTTTTGTTTCTCCTTCGAATTTTAGGGGACCCTATAGAGCACACCGCAAAGAAAGAATGGGATTCACTGGCACGTTATAGGCCTTAAGGCCTAAGAGACAAAGTGGTAGGGAATTGAAACATTAGGAGAAAAGTAGCAAGTCAAATTTAAAAGTTATTTTGTTTGGAAATACATTGTAATGCCTCTTCCTACCTCTGCCAAGGTTCTCTCTAATCCTCTGCAAGTCAGCTAACCATTTGTACTTCCCTTTTCAACAGAAATGGGAAAAATTGGCCTTGGAGTCAGCAGGACCTGTGTTCAAACTCTTCAGGCACTACCAGCTCTGAGACCCTGGGCAAGTCATTCAGCCGCGATTGCCTCAAAAAAATAATGGGATAAAAATCATAGTTACCTTCACTACACACCTTCACAAAAGAAATAAAGTAGAGAAGTTGTCTAGCCCACCCATTTCTTGGCCATCATGTACTGAGGCTGGGACCTCTCCAGAGGGAAACAGGGCATTTTCCCCAGGGTCCTTGGGCAACAGCCAATGTTTGAACTTTTCTTGGATAATGGAGAGAAGAGGATTGGAGGAAGCAAAAGTAGCCTGAGTGGCTGCCAAATCCAAAGAGGGTCCTGGTTGCTTATGCATCTGCAAAGCCTGTTCATAAAAGCTGTTTCCCATAGTCCTGGCTATATTCACCTCCATCTGTAATCAGGCTGGTATGAGAAGAGAAGCAGCTTCCCTGTTTGTGTATTCCTACAACTAAAAATTGTCCCTAATATCCTTCTATCTCACTTAAATCCTTTCTGCTGTTCGTGTGTTTCCCTCTCCATCTTTATTATAATTAACTGTGTGATCTTGGGCAACTCATTTCTCTCCAGTGAAGGGGCTCTAGTTGCTCCTTAGCATATTGACAGGGTTGGAAGAGAAGATCTCAAAGGTCCCCTCCAGCTGTAAAGTTGGCGATCCTAATATTCTGGATATTATTTCAGGGGGATTTAAATGCAACCAAAAGAAACATGCTACCCTAGTGGAATGAGGCTAAGTTTTGGACCCTGGAGCATCTACGTAAAAACTTCAGGAAGGAGCCCTTATCCATCCTTGGATAACTGCAAAATAAAATGACCTGGGGCTCTCCTTTCTGGTTAGGGTCACTGGGGTATTTTATATCTATTAGAAGAAGAAAATTCCAGAACTTCCTCTTTAGAAGTTGGGTGGTTTTTATTTGTTATAGGAAGATGGATCTATGGCATAGAGTTTCCACTCCTTTGGAGAAATTCTCTAACTGGTATTGCATTTTACTTACCTTACTAATTTTGTTTTTAAAATCAACACAGGTTGTTTTAAGTTCTGCACTAAAAGCTCTAGTTCCTGACTTTAATTTATGCCTTCTTTCTTATTTTATAAATTTTCTTTCTCTTTTGAACCATTCTGGGATTTTTTTGCTCATGTTCTATGATCTCTGGTGAGATATAGGATTTTGTCATTTGTCAGACAATTTCACAAAATCATAATCACAGAATTTGAGAGTTGCTGGGGACCTCTGCAGCTAGGGAGTCCAACTGATACCTAAGGGGAATTCTGACTCATAGCTTGACAAGTGGTCCTCCTTCATCTCCTGGAAGATCTCCAAGGAGAGGCAGCTCCACCTCCCCCCAAGGGAGTGCATTCCACTCCTGGACAGCTCTCATTGTTAGGAATTTGTAAGACATCAAGCCTCAGTTTGCCTCTTTGTAACTGCTTTCAGGTCTTCACTCTGGGGCCAAACAGAACCAAACACATTCCTTTCATATACAGCGGCCTTGAAATATTTGAATATGGCTACGATATCTGTTGAAGAAAAAAATATTAATACTAATAGTGGATTCTGCAATTTTGGCTCAAGTCTGGCAGAAACTGTTTTATTCAATGTATCATTAAACTCTACCCAAGTTAACTGAGAGAGAGAGAGATAGTCCTCATGCCATCTGACATGACTCTCTGCTTCAAGACAATTTTTGAAACATTTATAGGAATCTTGAACAAAGAAAAGATATCTTAAAATGCAGTCTGGGTTAATATTCTGTTCCCTCTAGGACCACTCTCCACACTCTAGGAGCTAAAACAAAGGGACTTCCTCAGTACCATTGGTATCTTAATCTCTCTTCTACTGAGAAGGATATGTCCTTGTGCACTGATCAGTGTAGGTGGCCAGGTAAAGAGGAGAGAGCTCTTAGCTGGGTAAATAACCAAATCACTTCAGTGGGAGGAAAAGCAGACATACATCCCATACCATGCACCCTCTGAAGCTTCTTACAGTTATGTAGAAGTTTTGGTGTCTTCCTAACTTCCCTGAACAACCATTCTGTCATGCTCAGGGACCTTCTTCTACAGCTTCTTATAACTCTAAGCAAACTTCCAAATTCACTTGCTTTGCTCCTGCTGGGGCACCTCTCTCCCCACCTCCTTCCTATAGCTTCTTGAGGCTCTGGGACCATACCCTGAGGCTGAATCCCTATGGTAAATGAAAACCTATGTGAATTCATTCCTCAAACCTACTCCCACTCTCATCTCATTCTGCACCCCTGGTTGCTATTGTTCAAATCCTTTTCTCTGTCTCCTACTGACCACTCCCTCAACTGCTTCTTCTCCACCTCCTGCTCTGTGCACTCTGGAACACCTGATCCATAAGTAAAAAATTAGATTTCATCTTAAATACTTTCCTCTCCTGCTCCCTCCATCTTGAACTCAATGAGACCCAGCTACCTCCTGGTGCCACAGTTTCCCTGGCCACACTATCCAGCTCTCAATGCACTTTCACTCATAATTACAGACTAACTGGTAGTTGTCAAGGCATTCAAATACTCTTTGCTACCCCTTGCCACTTAAAGATTCTCTTTCCACCACCATGACTAATCTTGCTTCCTTTGAGGTTCATTCAAGCCATATTTATTATTCTATCAAGATTCTGGTGGCTATTATGTACCAATTTCTTTTTTTTTTAATTTTTAGGCAATTGGGGTCAAGTGACTTGCCCAGGGTCACACAGTTATTAAGGGTCAAGTGTTTGGTCTGAGGTGGAATTTGAACTCCGGTCCTCCTCACTTCAGGGCCAGTGCTCTATTTACTGTGCCACCTAGCTGCCTCTGTCTACCAATTTCTAGGACACTCTCCTTACTTCTTCAATGAATTTAGACTGTCTCACAGTCTTCTTACATATACTAGTCCTCTTACCCTCATAATAGAGGGTTTCAGCCTACATCTTGATACTCCCAATTCTTCAACTTGCTCATTTCCTGTGACCTACTCCACCACTCAAATCAGCCCCACAAATCATACCTTTGATCTTGCCAGAAATATACTGCTTCCATGTTTATGATCTGAAATGCCCTCATTTGACCCCAATCTTTTGTCATTCCATCTGTCTCTCTGCCTTGTTTCATTCTTTTTGTTCTTTTTAGTAGTATTTTATTTTTCCTAATAACATGTAAAGACAATTTTTGCCATTCATTTTCACAAGATTTTGAATTCCAAATTTTTCTCCCTCCCCTCTTTTCTTTCTAAAATGGTCAGTAATTTGATATAGATTATATGTCTGCAATCATGTAAAACATATTTCTTTATTAGTTACAGTTGTGAAAGAAGAAATAGAACAAAAAGAAAAAAAACGTGAAACAAAGTAAGTGAAAAAAGTATGCTTTGATCTGTATTCAGAGTACATCAGTTCTTTATCTGTATGTGGACATCATTTTCCATCATGAGTCCTTCGTAATTGCCTTGGATCATTGTGTTGCTGAGAACAGCTAAGTCATTTATAGTTGATCATCACACAATGTTGCTATTACTGTGTGCAATGTTTTCCTGGTTTTGCTCGTTTCATTTTGTGTCAGTTCATACAAGTCTTTCCAGGCCAAAACTCATTTCTCATCCTCATTGCAACCTCCAATTCCACCATCCCTTGGTTCTTCCCCAGATTGTTCCCCTTGCACTGGCTACACTATATTCCCTTACCTATCTTGACCCCTTGGTAAACTAGTTCAATTTGACACTGCCTTCCTCTCTTGAGGATCCTTGTTTTATTCTTGAGTGAGGTTCCCTGCCAAGCTTAAGCCTTGGATTACTACTACATCTGCTCCCTCCGCTCCTACTCACATGCAACTGAGTGAAGGTGGAGACAGTCACAAAACTATGCTGAGTCCACTACAAATTTATATCACAAAATCTCAGCTGGATCTTCATGGAAGCAAGGCCATCCTTTTATATCTCTATATGACTCATTTTCTCACTCACCACAGCAGCTTTTCCAAACCTCCTATGGCTCCCCCTACCCAGGTTTTCAGCTGAGAACCTTTGCCTCATATGAGGCCATTAATTGAGAGTATCCTCTACTCCACATCCCACACCCCTCAGATGCCTTCTTCCACTCCTTCACCCTTATTTCACTTGAAGTTGTAGCTGTTCTTCTTGCCAAGGCAAACCCCTCTACATACTCAAGTGATCCCATTCCATCCTGTCTCCCCTAACAGATCCTCCTCTATCATTTATACTCTCTCACCAGTCTTCAGTTTCTCCTAGTCTACTTTCTGTTACCCTACTTCCTAAAAGATTCTGATGTCTTCTCCATCCTCAAATAATCCTCACTTTATCTATCTACCACCACTAGTTATCATCCAGTATCTGTCCTCCTTTTTCTGTGTAAACTCCTTGAGAAAGCTTTCTGCAGTTGGTGTTTCTGATTACTTTTCCCTCATTCTCTTCTCAGCTCTCTGCAATCTGGCTTCTATCAATGATCTCTTAACTCAAATTTAAGGGCCTTTTATCAGTCTTCATCCTCATTAACTTTTCTGCAGCCTTTGACACTATCAACCACCCTCTTAATATTCTTTTTTTTGTTACACTGCTTTCTTATGGTTCCCTCTTCCCTCACTTGTCTGACTGCTTTTTTCAGCCTCCTGTGAAGAATCTTTATCTAATCATGCCTATTAACTATGGATGGCCCTTATAGCTCTGTCATTGGCCCTATTCTCTTTATATACTGTTTTGTTGGTGATTTTTTCAGCATCCATGGCTTCAATGATCATCTCTATGTAGATAGTTTTCAGATCTATTTGTGCAGCCCTTACTTGTATCCCGACTTTCAGTCTCATATCTCTAACTCCTGATTGGACAGCAAATAGAGACATTTGATCTGGATGTCCCATTGACATCTTAAATTTAGCATGTTTAGAACTGATCCATGTTTCCTTCTGGACTCTCCCCTCTTCCTAATTTCCTGTTACTGTCAAGGCTATCCTCCCACTCTTGCAGGCTCACAACTTTGGTATCACCTTTGACTCTTCATTCTTCCTCAAACTCCATATACAGTCTGTTGCCAAGTCCTGCCAATTTATCTTCAAAATATCTCTCATATATGTCCCTTCTCACCTTTGACACTCCTGTCACCCTGGTTTAAGCCCTGGCCTATTGCAACAACCTTTTGGTTGGTCTCCTTGCCTCAAATCTCTCCCTCACTCCAGTGCATCCTACACTGACAGTCAAACTGATCATCCTGAAGCCCGGATCTGACCATGTTGCTCTCCTTTTCAATAAACTCCAGCAGCTCCCTCTTATTTCCAGGGTTAAATATAAAATCTTTTGCTTGATATTCAAAGGTCTACATAACCTGGCACTTTCCTCTTTCCAGTCTTCTTATATTTTATTTCCCTCCATGTATTTGGTTATCTATTAACACTGGTCTTCTTGCAGTACCTATCACAGAACACTCCCCTTCCTGACTGAACATTTTCACTGGCTGTCCTCCATGCCTGGAACCATCTCTCTCCTCACCTCAGCCTCCTGGCTTCCTTGGCTTTCCTCAAACCTAAGCTAAAATCCCACCTTTTGTAAGAAGTTTTCCCAGTCTTCCGTAATTGTAGTACCTTCTCTCTGTGAATATTTCCAATCAATCATGTATATGTCTTGTTTGCGCATAGTTATCTACATGACCCCTCTGCTCTTGACACTAGGGACTGTTTTTTTAAAAAAAATTTTATTTTTTGGACTCTCTTTGTACCTTGAGAGTTTAGCACAGGGACTGGCACATAGTAGAGACTTCATAAAAGCTTGTTGACTTGACAAAAGTTAAGAATTCATTTATTATCCTCAATCCATTTCCTTAAGAAATGCTTTTTGTCCTCTACTTAACATCCAACTTCCCAGTGGGTTTTCCTTAGACATATGGAAAGAGTTTTAGAGAGAAATATTATTTCCTAGGATTTCTAGGGAAACTAAAAAAGGGGTTTAAAATTTTTTTTCTAAGAACTCCTTCTGAGCCTCCTCTTCTCCAGACTAAACATCCCCATTTCCTTCAACTTCATGTATTCAAGCCTTTCACCTCCTCCGGGCACTCTCAGGCTTAGCAATATCCTTCTTAAGTGGTGGCACCTAGAATTGAATGCAATATTAAAATGTTTTGAATATGTACACATATTTATTAGAAATGATTGGTTGGTTCATGTTGAACTAAAATACTGCCAAATCTTTAATATTAAAATATACCAAAATGTTCCATAATGATTAAAAGTTTTATGTTTTGGGGTCAAGAGGCCTGGGATCCTTTGATAAAAAAAAAGTCTGTGAATTACTTTGTCACTTCTATTTCATGATAGAATAGTCTGATGAAATTTTCTAAATGCTGAATTTTCCTCAGATGTTTCAGCAAGCTAAAGACATGGATCATCAAGAAAGACTCCATGACCAACAACTAGGTAAGGAAAGGATTCATGGGGAAGGATTCTTTTCCCCACATTACAAATTATCTCAGTAATGGTGGTCCTGTGGTGTCTGTGCTTTTGGGGGAAAATTGTTCCTTTTAGTGACCATTCCTGAACTCCAAGTTAACTACTAACAGGTGACAATAGACAATGGAATGACAGCTAAATTTGAAGTCATGGGATTTAGGTTTGAATATAAGTTCTGCTGAGTGACCACTTGAATAATCATTTAATTTCTCAGGGCCTCAGTTTCCCTGACTGTAAAATTAGGGTGTTGGACTTTCCCAGGCCATCACCCATGCTTTGGCTATTTTCATCTCCATTCCCAACTTAGAGGTTTCTTCTCTCTTACCTATCAACATTTGTAAGTCTCTCACATGCTTAATAAGAGTTTGTTAGACATTCCTTTTCTTTCAAGCTATTAATGTCAATCTCTTCTCCTTTTTTTCAAACTCCTTGAAAAATCTGCCTACACTTGCTATCTTTGCTACCTGTCCTCTCACTTTCTTTTAAAATGCTAGTATCTTGCATTTGACCTCATTGCTCAAATGAAACCTCTGTTCCAGGCAGGTTGTGAGAAAAAGATGTGGTGATATTTGTAAAATATTTTATAAAACTTACGGTGCTACATAAATGCTAACTTATTGTCATTATCATTATTGTATTATTATGATTCAATTCATAAGGTTACCTTGAATATATTTTGTATGTGTTGGGTATACACTTACATATACATACATGTTATCTCCTAGGCTAGAATATAAGCTCATGTGGGACTATTTCAATTTTGTCTTTGTCAGCTCCAGCACCCAGCAAGTGTAGACAGAGAGTAGGTACTTAATAAATGATTATCAATCTATTGTTGGGCCTAGATGACTTGAAATCCCTTCCAGCTTTAGATGTATGATACTAGTATCTTATGGTACACATGAGTGGAGCTGATTTCATACTAATTGAGAAACTTCTGCTTCACTGAAAAGATTAAGACTGTCCAGCTGAAGCTCTCTTACCTCTATCCTCAGAACTCACCATTATCAGCCACTCTTTCCTCTACTCTTCTGGTCCTAGGCTATATGATATACTTATTTCTTACTGATTTTCTCTATCTGATCTCTTGACAGCATTCCCCCCCTCCCAAGACTTTTCTTCAACAATACCCTTTCTCTTTCATCCTTCCTCAATTTCTCCTCCCCATATGCTCCTCCTCTGCCTACAAATACACATAGTCCTCCCACTTTGTTTATTTTTTAGTGTGTACACATACATTTATTACATTTTTGTGTCTATTAACATTTTTAAGGTATGTGAAGTGTTTTCCTTTACAATGATCCTGTGAGATAGATGTTGCAGCCTATATTTATCTCCATTTTACACATGGCCTTAAATACTTTACAAATGGTCACATGAGCATTAAATATATGAAGTTAGGCTCAACCCTAGCCTATTTTGACTCCAGGTCTAACATTCTATCCACATTATCATGCTATTTCTTACTATATCTCCTTATCTGTAGTGTGACCATGTCAGCATTTGGCTGAAGTGGTTGGAGGAAGTTCCTTAATGCTCTCCAAAATCTGAGTCACAGACCAAGTTTGGTCTCAGTTGTGACCCCTAAATTTCACTTTCTTTAACAAGTTTTTTGCTCCTCAGCCTGGAATTTACTCTGGAACAGCTTTGGTATCACTCATGTCTGGATTTCACAAACATGAGTAATAGGGCTTTTAGTTCCTTTATAAGCATTCAGAGTCACAAATACATATCAGGGAAAGGAAAGCCTTTATTTTGAGACACACACACACACACACACACACAATTCAGAAGACAAAAAGGTTTTAGAGAATATATTGAAAGAGATAGCACATAAAACTCTCACGTAACCTGTAAGCTACCCTCAGAAGGGAAATGATCTTGTGATTACTAATGAGGCAAATTTTGACATGAGTGAAACCTCTTCCACAGGGTTCTACACAATCCCTCCCACAGTTATTGTGCCACCCTCTATTTTGCATATTCCCCTAGATTAATGAGTACCAATAATTTTTTGTCCAAGGCTCACCCCTACCTTTTTTTTTTTTTAATAATACATACATAGGTGGTGGCACAGTGGATAGAATTCTGGGCCTGGAGTCAGTTTGACCTGAGTTCAAATCCAGCCTCAGATACTTCGTATCTGTGTGATCCTGGGCAAGTCACTTAACCTCTGTTTGCCTCAGTTTCCTCAACTGTAAAATAGAGTTCCTACTTTGTAGGATTATTGTGAGGATCAAATGAGCTAACATTTATAAAATCCTTATCACAGTGCTATATACCACAGGTGCTACATAAATGCTTATTCACTTTCCTTCCCCTCCCCTTTCAAAAACAAAAAAATGAGTTGTGAACACTCAGGGTAATTTAACGTACTACTTTTAATATTAATTACAATTATTTACTTCTTAAGGCACCACTAAAAACTCTTTAGCATGAACTCCTTGGACCATCATTGTGGACCCTCAACAGGTTAGAGAACCACGAAATGGAAAACACTGCCCAATGCAAAACACACTTTACAGCTTCTGGACAGGCAACCCACTTCCCAAACAAGCTGGACTATTCAAATAACTCACTATCACAGGGCAGAGGAGCAAAGAACATGACTTTTGCTCCAGTGTGTTGCAACTTTAGTCCATGAATTCTGGGGCATGGGTGAGAATATGTAGCTTCCTTGAACTTCTTCCAAGTACTCCAGCACTGGATTGGTTCCTGTCACCTCTTAGGCTATGAAAGTTTATTCTCAGGAATTCTTCTATTTGGCCAGCAAAAAAGCTGTGAGGGAACATATGTGGTGATCTTACAATTGTGCTCATATGCTATTTCCCCATGGGAGCTGTTAATGTTTACTGGGGGAAGAGAAAGGGAGAAATCAATGGATTAATAAGCACTTCTTAATTTCTTCCTCCCTTACCCCTGCTGTGATCTAGAAGAAGTATGATTTAGCATGGACCATTACAGTAGGGGTAGCTCCTTGGACAAAAAAGTACCAGCCAGAAAACTTCTTGATATCAGTACCTGCCACAGAAACTTATGTCTTTTATTCTGTTAATACTTTATTCTTAATTTTGACCATACCAACAATAATGTTCATTCTCTATAAAGAGTGGCTTGGATAATCAAATATTCAAAGCTAAGGTTCACTTCTTTATAAGTTCATTAAATTGACCAATGATCAATTGATTAATATTGATCAATTGATCTCTACCCTTCCCCTAATCCCTCCTTCCTCATCTTACTCCTCCCAAGTAAATTTCAAATTCTTCTGCCTGGAATATGAGATTCTCCAAAATCTGGGACCATCCCAGATTTCTAGCCTTATTTCTTATTACTCTTTTCCATGCAGTCTATGTTTTGGCCAAATTGGACAACCCTCTTTCTCCTGAATATGTAGTATACTTTTCCAGCTCCAACTCTTTATTTACATGGTTACCTGAGTCTGCAATGTCTTCACTTCTTCTTCACATGCTAAATTCTTACCTATCTTTTAATGCCTAGCTCCCATTAAATTCCAACTCCTCTATGAAGCCTTCTTTGATCCCTCCCTGTTAGCAAAATGTACTTATCATGTATCATTATGCAGTATAATTATCCTGATTTCCTGTCTTTTTAGTAAACTGTAAGATCCATGATGGAATGGAGCCTAAACTCTGTATTTCCCATAACACTGAGTAGAGTAGTTCTGAATAAATTTTTTCCACTTTTTTATAATAATATTTTATTTTTTCCAATTACATATTAATTTTAAAAAAGATTTTAAGTTCCAAATTCTATCTTTCCCTTCCCTAAGATGGTATGCAATCCAATATAGGTTATATATATGAAATCATGTAAAATACGTATTAGTCATTTTGTACAAGAAGACTTGAATGAAAAAAGAAACAAAAAAGTGAGAAAGAAAGTGAAAAACAGCATGCTTCAATCTGTATTGAGACAGCATCATTTCTTTCTCAGGAGATGGATAGCATGCTTCATCATGATTACTATGGTCATTTACTATACTGTAATGTGTATCTAATATATTCCACTGATCCCCCACTCTATTTCTTAGCCAATACCAGATTGTTTTGTTAATTACCACTTTTTAATATAGTTTGAAATCTGGTACCGCTAGACGACTTTCCTTCACCTCTTTTTTTCATTGATTCCTTTGATATCTTTGGCCTTTATTTTTTTCTAGTTCTATAAAATAATTTTTGGTAGTTTGATTGATGTGGTACTGAAAAAGTAGATTAATTTAGGTAGAATTGTAATTTTTATTGTATTAGTTTGCCCCACCCATGAGCAGCTGATATTTTTTCCAGTTGTTTAGATCTGACTTTATTTGTATGAAAAGTGTTTTTAATTGTGTTCATATAGCTCCTGGGTTTGTCTTGGCAGATAGACTCCCAAGTATTTTATAACATCTACAGTTATTTTAAATGGAATTTCTTTGTGTCTTGCTGCTGAAATTTGTTGGCAATATATAGAAATGCTGATGATTTATTTGGGTTTATTTATATACTGCAACTTTTCTAAAGTTGTTAATTATTTCAATATGTTGTTTACAAGGAACAGAGACACATATAGAGTAAAGGTAAGGAGCAGGAGCAGAATATATTATGTTTCAGCTGAAGCAAAAAAAAAAGGAGGGGGTAGCAATCATGATCTCAGACAAAGCAAAAACAAAAATATATCTAATAAAAAGAGATAAGGAAGGAAAATATATCTTGCTGAAAGGAACTATAAACAATTGTTCTTCCCCAAGAGAATGGCAATAATAAGACAATATACCAAAATTAATGGGATGAAGCCAAAGCAGTACTTAGGGGAAAATTTATATCTCTAATTGTTTACATCAATAAAATAGAGAAAGAATAAATCAATGAATTGGGTATGCAACTAAAAAAACTTGAAAAATAATAAATTAAAAACCCTCAATTAAACACCAATTTGGAAACCCTGAAAATTGAAGGGAAGATTAATAAAATTGAAAGTAAGAAAACCGTTGAGCTAATAAATAAATAAAACTAGAAGCTGCCTTGATAAAAAAAAAATAAAATAGATGAACCATCTATTTTGCCCAATTATGCTGATAAATTTGACAATCTAAATGAAATGGATGAATATCTACAAAAATATAAATTACTCAGATTAATAGAAGAAGAAATAGAGTACTTAAATAACCCAATCCTAGAAAAAGAAATTGAACAAGCCATCAATGAACTTCCTAAGAGAAAATCCCCAGGGCCAGGGGGATTCACAAATGAATTCTACCAAACATTTAAAGAACATTTAATCCCAATACTATATCTAATCCCAATACTATTTGGGAAAATAGGTGAAGGAGTCCTATCAAATTCCTTTTATGACACAAATATGGTGCTGATAACTAAACCGGGATGAGCCAAAACAGACAAAGGAAATTATAGACCAATTTCTTTAATGAATATTGAAGAAATGTTTGTTTTTTGGATTGAATCGTAAGGGTAAACAATAGGGATGGTGGCTTCACCTTGTCTTCTACTTACCAGCTAATCAGTCATTGAGGAAGCATTATGTGTCAGGCACTGTCCTAAATGTTGAGGGTTCAAAGAGGTGCAAAGCACAGTGCTTGCCCTAAAGGAGTTCACAGAGTAAGGAGAGAGACAACAAATATGTACAAACAAGCTAAATACAAAATAAATAGGAAATCATTTTAAAAGAGAAGGCACTCGAATTAAGAGTGCTTGGGAAAGTCTAGAAGCTGCCTTGATAAAAAAAAATAAAATAGATGAACCATTGGTTTAATTTGGTTATAAAAAAGAATAACAAAAACAAAATTATCAGTATTGAAAACGAAAAGGGTAGAAGATGGGATTTTAGTTAGGACTTGAAGGAAGTTAGGTAAGGCAGGAGATAGAGATCAGGAGGGAGAGCATTCCAGACATTGAGGAGAGCCAGAGAAAATGCCCAGAGCCAAGAAATGGAATGTCTTGTTCAAGGAACATCAAGGAGACCAGCGTTGCTGAATCACAGAGTACATAGAGGAGGGATAGAAGGGGTAAGAATACTGGAAATGTGGGGAGCAGGTTATGAAGGGCTTTGAGCCCCAAATGGATTTCCTGGACATGTAGTAGACCACTTGATCAATGACTGCTGAATGGTGTTGAACTGTAAGGAAATAATATACACTTCCTTGTTATTCTGATGACCCTGTTCCTTGTGATGGTCAGAGGGAATGGCTACCAATAGGTCATTTTTGTTCCAACAGAGTCAGCTAATAAGAGCCAGCAACAGCAGATGGAGCCAGAACTGGGCTCTGGATCCTTAGAATTAAAGATTCTCTTCCTGGGCAAACATGGTGTAGGGAAGAGTGCAACAGGCAACAGCATCCTGGGGAAGCCAGTGTTTGAGTCCAAATACAGTGATGAATCAGTGACCAAAACTTGTAAGAAAGAAAGTGAAACTGTGGGAAAGAGGGAAGTTGTGATCATCGATACCCCTGATCTTTTCTCCACAAGGATCTGTGCTAGAGAGAGGGAACAAGAGGTCAGGTGATGTATCTCCCTCTGTTCGCCAGGTCCCCATATCCTCCTCCTGGTGACATCTCTGAATTTTTTCACAGTGGAAGATGAAGAGGTGGTGAAGGGTATTTAGAAGATCTTTGGAGATGAAGCTGTGAGACACATGATGTTTCTTTTCACAAGGACAGAAGAGCTGGGGGGTGACTCACTTCTGGAGTACATTAAAGAAACTGACAATGAGTATCTCAAGAAGCTAGTTCTGAACTCTGGGGTCCAGTATTGTGGTTTCAACCACAAAGCAGGTGTGGCAGAACAGGATACTCAGGTTAGGAGTCTCCTTGAACAGATTGAGTAGAAGAATGGCCAATCTTATGCACACTTTAATGCAAATATAGGAATGAAAGAAAATACTATAGACTCCAAAGCAGATATATTACCATGATTATCAAATGCCCAGGAATGTCAGGTAAGAGCCTGAATCTAAGAATTACATTAATCAACATAATCTCTTGCATTTTTATAATGCTTTTTGTTTGTTTGTTTGTTAAGTGAGGCAATTGAGGTTAAGTGACTTGCCCAGAGTCACACAGCTAGTGAATGTTGTGTGTCTGAGGTCAAATTTGAACTCAGGTCCTCCTGACTTCAGGGCCATGCTCTATCCACTGTGCTACCTAGCTCCCCCTTTATGATGCTTTTGATTCCAAAAAGGAGTAACAAGGTTGTGCATTTCCTTTAGTGCAGAGCTAGAGTACACGTGTTTGGGAAGGGGCTACAGCACATGTTCACATTTAAGGGAAGTGCTACATCTATAATACAACCTTTTGGGAATTCATTCATTTAACAAGCATTTGTTAAGCTGCTTCTATGTAGCTGACACACTGCTAAGTTCTGGAAATACAGTGAAATAAACAAAAAATCTTCTGTCCTCTGGGAGCTCACAGTTTACTGGGTAGAAAGAACAGGCACACAGATAAGTATACAAAAAATGCATGTAATTAAGTACAAAGTAGTTTCATGGGGAAAGGTACTAAGGACTTGTAGGACCAAGAAAAGTCTTGTGTAGAGTTGGCAGTCTAGGTCAGACAGAGGGTGGTAAAATCTAAAGCAGACTAGCAAGGATATGTCACGAAGTCTGATTATCCTGGAACTGTGACTAAGAAGCTGTATGAGCTAGTCATTTGCCCTCTCTAGGCCTCAGTTTACTGAGAGAGTTGGAATGGATTAGTCAGTGTCAGCAGGAGCAGTAGTAGATGGGTGTAACAACTTACTGTCTTTCTATTCAGGCCTTGTTGGGCTTTCTGAAGGGTGCTGAGGTTCTGGCAGGGCAGTGCCTATTATTTCATCTCTGATGAAAAATATCTGGGTCTACTTTCTGCTCTTTAGGAGGCTCAACTCTTTGTCTTTAAAGAACATTATTAATTTTCATTTCTGTTCTTGGAGGGAAGATGAATTTAGTGATTCACAAAGACTGTCCCCCATCCTCCCTCTCTTATTTTTTCAGGGATTGGTGAATATAGTCAAGACCTATCAAAAGAAATATGATGCATCCAGTAAGACCATGCCTCAATTTCTATTTTAACCCTTTAGAGTCTGATATGTTATGTCCATGTCTATGTAGCTCAGGGCAAGAGAGATTTGGTTAGGAAGAAAGAAGGAGGGCATGTCAATGAGAGAAAATAGCATGAGAACATGAGCAAAAGCATGGAAGTGAGGAACATGTCATGAATGAGGACTGGACATAGCTACAAGGAGATCTATATATGGGATGAGCCCTAGTTCCTTTTCCTCCAGGCACATCCCATCAAGTCAAGTCAAGTCAAATTAAATCAAGTCAAGTCAACAGGGATGCTCTGTGTTCTCCATTATAAATCCTTCAGGGAACAAATAAATGCTTTGATTTCTTTGTCCATGATAAATTAAAACATAGACAGTGAAGAAATAACCCACTTTGCTCTCATCCTTAATGACAGTGAACTCAGATTTAGTTCCCTAGATGTCCTGACTCTTATTCCCATACTGATTCCTATTCTCCACCAGGAGAAACTTGATCCATTTGAACTCCTAGACAGTACTGAAATTTAATGCACTAGACCCAGCCCCATATCAACCATCCTGGGATAGAAAACTCCCAGAATGTGTCCATTATCTGTCACAACATTTTGTCTAAATCACCAGTGTTATTATATCGTTTTGCTCAAGTATGGAGACAGTAGGCTATCCATCTCAAGGCTGCCTAATGCCTAACGCTTAACAGGTGTCTCCCCAAATGCCCAATTCAAAGGTTTCCTTATGTCAATGAAGAGGAAAAACATTAGGTGTGTCTACCTGTAAGATGCCTTTTCTTAGTTTTTAACTTTTGGAAATATCAGCTAAATTCCAAAAAGCTTCAGCAGGTTACATAGCTTTCTTTAAAAAAAAAAAAGGGCTGTACTAGAGCCAATACAAAAGAAATTGAATTTTTTCTTATGACATTTCTGAGATCCTTTTTGACTCTGGTAGGTAGGATTTAGACAGAGTTGGGAGACTGTAGGAAGTAAATTCGTTCAGGCTCAGGGGAAACCATATGAGCAGAGGTAGGTATCACATTTTCAGGGGAACCACAGGAGGATTCCATGACCAGAGTGGAAGGACAGAATCTCTGAAGTAGCTATGCTGGACCAAAATCTTTGAAGAACTTAACTTTGGACTTCATTTGACATACAAAAGAGTCATTTTAATTTCTAGGGCAGAAGAATGATTTGGTGAAAGCAGTGTTTGAGAAAGAAATATTTTTCCATAACCTGAGTTTGACTATGATACAGTCAGGATGGGGACCAGTAACCACCACTACCACAACAGCAACAATCACAATGATAATTTGCATTTAAAAGTGAAAAAATTGATAATTGCTGGTTTCCTTTATGGTAGCTTCAAGATGGTCTTCTAAAGATGCTACAGAAGAAGTCAGTCTTAAGGAGACATTTAGTGGATGAGAAATAGGGCAAGCATGAGGAAAAACAGAAGAATGTATGCAGAGAAAATAATTCACTTCTAAGTCCCAAAGCTCAAATAACTCACACTTTCTTTTTCATTTACAATGACAGTTTGCATTCATTATGACTTAAATGCATTATTAATTACCAAAGAATTTAATTTTATTTAGTACATTTGTACATTACAGTACAAATCTGAAGTATTTCTTAGAGCATTTTAGTTTTAGAGAAGTGAGAATTCTTTAATGAGACACACTCATATAATCACTATCATGTTGTCAAAGAAAAACATGAATACTGTACTTTATGTTTCAGGCACGTGTCTACAAGAAACAATTTCAATTAATTTTACACTCATCTAAATCCAAGGCTTCCTAACTTAGAGAAAGAAAAGTCCAAACTGTCATAGTTTCTTCCCTCTCCCAAATCTCTATCTCCTTTGACATCATTCTATTACAAGAAAATTGAGGTAACAATTATAGAAATTTTGAACATGGAAAATGTAACAAAATGACAAAACACTGTTTTGGGCTCAACATTCTACCTCATCTAATGGACCAAGGGTGATTTGATCTTTTGGAATTACCCTGGAGAACCCTCCTCAATCCCTATTCCCAGGCTCTTAGCCTTTGACCTTTGTAGATATATTGTCAAAGGGAAATGTCTAGAAAGCATTTTGGACTAGAGAAAATATTATACCTTAATATTTTCAGCTGAACTAAAAAGGAGTTTCAAAATCTGTATCCATAAAGTAACTCAGGATACCAACATACCCTAGATATCATTGTCTTATCCATTCTTTCACAATAACATCATTAACAGATTATAACCAAACACCATCATGATGGTATCAAACACCATCACAATGGGGTCAGCCATACTGATTATCAAAATCTGCTCCCTACTATGGCCAGGCATTGTGCTAAGCACTGGGGATAAATAAAGAGGTGGAAGACATCCCCCATGCCATTAAGGATCTAATATTCCAATGATAGCTCACATTGGATGAGGTATAAGACAGAGCAGAGATTTTTGTGATGGAGAAGGAGTAGTGCAAGGATTAAAGGGGTAGGAAAAGCCATCTTGACTTCTCATGGTCCAACTGTTAACCATAACAATGACAGCTGCTTGGCTTTTGTTTTTCAATATAAGTTGGCTAAAGGCAACAGAGGAAAGGAATGTATATATCCTTCAGAATTCTGACCCTCTCATTTTCGTGTTGGTGCTTTCCAGGCCTGGGAATGCCGACAGAGCTGAGGCTCATCCTCGTAGGGAAGACAGGAAGTGGGAAGAGTGCAACTGGAAATAGCATCCTTGGCAAGAAAGCCTTTAAATCTAAGCTTAGTTCCAGGCCAGTGACTGAGAGCTGCCAAAGAGAGAGCAGGGAATGGCATGGAAGAACACTTGTTGTCATTGACACCCCAGATATCTTTTCCTCCAGTACCAAAACAAATAGAGATCTAGAGATCTGTCACTGCATGGCCCTCTCTTCCCCAGGGCTAGGTGCACTGCTCTTGGTGATGCAGTTGGGCCGTTACACCAGTGAGGACAAGGAGTCCCTCAGGCGCATCCAGGAGATATTTGGAGTGAGAATCTTGTCTCACACCATCCTTGTTTTCACCAGGAAAGAAGATTTAGGGAAGGAAACCCTGAAGGAATACTTAAAGAAACAAAGAACAAAAGCTTGGCCTGGCTGAATGAGGAGTGTGAAGGATTTCACCATGGTTTCAACAACAAAATTGAAGGAGAGGGACAAGAGGCCCAGCTAAAGGAACTGATGGAGATGATAGAAGGGGTTGTCAGGAAAAATAACTTGTGCTGCTACTCAAATGAGGTGTATGACTATGTCCAGGAAAATATTCAGCAGTTAAGAGAGGAGCTGGGAGAAGAGCCAATAGGCCAGGGGCAGGGTTCTAAGGGAGCTTTCTGTAAAGAGAATATGGCATCAGAGGAGTTAGATCAGACCTGCTCTGCACTAGAAAGTCTGATGACCACTCAGAGGAAATATGAACAGAATCAAGAATCAGTGCTGAAGAAGGAGTCTCAGAACCCTGGCAACTCATATTGGGGTGCTCTCAGGGCGAGTTTTCTTGTCAGATTCCTTTTTAGTCTTCTACTGTCTCCTCTGTCAGCCATGGCCTGGTTGACTGGACTCAGGCACATGATAGGGAGAATGGAAGCCAAAGATAGGAATCTGAAAGCTCCAACCGCCAATCCTAACTCTGCCACTGACTAGTTCTATGGCTTGAACAAGTCACTTCCTCTGGTCCAACTATCTCCTTTGGTAAATGAGAAAACAACTCCAGAGAGGTGATCTCTGTGATCCCCTCCAGCTCTAGTCTCCTATGATGTCAGGCTTTTGGTAATAGTCTCCAGGAGCCTGTAATCCCATTGCTCTAACATAGATGGGAAAAAATTACAATTAGTGTAGATTTCTTTAAAGTGATATCATTAGAGTCCCTGGAACTCTACTGGCTTGTGTCATAGAGGGAATTCCTTAAAGATACAACATGCAGTAGATGGCCTCTGATTCCATTCTAAATCTGAGATTCTGTGAACCCCATTTGATAGATGGTGAAACTGAGGTTTAACAAAAGACAAAGAGATCTCTAAAAGTCATAAGGTGAATCCAAGAAAGTATCTTTTTGAAGTTAGATCAGCTGACTCTTGTCAAAATTCTTCATTATAGCTATCTCACCCTTCACCACCCCCCAACCCTGGCTATAGACATACCATGTCCCCAAAAGTAGGCAGCATTGGCATAGAAATGCACCCACCCAGAATTTCAAGAATGTGACAGTACAAGTCCCTTTATATTCTCTTTATATAAAGGGAGGAAAGCAAGGAGAAAAGTGCCACACACAAGGGACTCACTCAGAGATCTGCCTACTGGGACCATGCCATCTAAACACAACTACAAACCTTATTCCTCAGTCTCACTTCACACCCACACTCTCTTCAATTCACAAAAATTATCACTGGTTCTTCCCAAAACATATGATCTCCTTTCTGATTGTCTGTTGCTTTTAATTATCTCGGCTACATTGTCTAGTCAAAGGGACTGAGCCTAATGGGATCACAAAATTATAGAATCTCTGAGCTGAAAGGGCCTTAGAGGTGATCTACCCTTAACCATAGCTGGATAGACATCTCCTCTACAATATCCCTAGAAATAGTCATCTAGTCTTCACTTGAAGACCAATAGCTGTGGGGAGCTCATCTATCTATTAAAACACCTTATACTTCTATTTTGGACCATATAAGAGGGATTCAGGCCTTACTAGCAGAAGCTTTCAACTTCTACTTACTCTAGAATGGTTTTTGAGGTTTATTAGAGCTTGAAAGAAAATTTAATAGCCTGGAGCTAGTTACCAGGTAGGAAAATGAGAATTGAAAGGATAAATGAAAAAAAACAGTGTCTACACTTGACCTCAGCCTCAAAGAGACCCAGTGGAATATGCTGACAATGCACAGGGGCATCTTATCTGTACTTTCATGTAGAGAAAAGGCAGAGAATTTAGCCACCCTAACTCAGCTACAAACAAGAAGCAGAAACCTTCTAAAGACAAGGATGAGGAAGAGAATACATAGCTTCCATTTTGTTCTCCAGCTAGAGGATCTGTGAGGTAGATCAAAGATGGAAGTGAAAATATGATGATTATCTTTGACACATGTGGCCCATGCCATCTCACTGTAAGGGTGTAATGGCACTACCTAAAGTAGCAGTAGTGGCTGGAGTATTGAGAAGGAGGATGATCATGCTTTGGCCAGGAACAATTTAGAAGGCAGGTGATAAACAAACAAAAAAAAGAAGGCAGGTGACAGCAGCAACACAATACAGTTTTAATGACTGGTAAACATATAATTTAAAAACAACACATAACGTTTTCAGAGTTGGAAAGCTTCAGATGAGGGGAGGACCTTGTCAGATAACAATGGCAGAGTCAAAAAGCAGTGGCAAAAAATGGAGTTTGAGTGGATGATGTTTTCAGAGGCAGAGAAGAGTAGCAGTGGCTAAGTGTTGGGACGGGAGGCTGAGAAAATAATATCAGTAAAGCTTAGCCATTTGCTGAGAAAATGGAGCTATAAGAACTCAAGCAGGAGAGCTTTGTTAGCTATGAATCAAGGCTGATTGCATTGGAGTCCTTCCTCACTTTAGAGTTATCCCGAAATTTGGTTTTCTTTGCTAATGACACATGTGTTGGAAATTGTACTTATTTGTATGATGGGATTCATGCCAATTTGTATATGGCCTGAGAATCATCCTTCCACATGTCTTTCCCCTCTATTGATATTTTGCTGTTGTGTTTCAATTAAATATTTTACTATCTGATAAATAGTTTCTGCCTGGTCTATGTGTAGAGTGGCACGTAATGGGGCTTATTCTCTTTTCTTTCTCTCATTTACCCCACTTAGTATGTGATTCCGAAGTTGAGTAAAATAGTAACTGTAGACAACTTAAGCAACTGGACATCTCTGCAGTTGTTCCAGTTGTTTAAAAGAGAGGAAAAAAACCCTTAAGAATTCTATAGTTATTTTGGTGAATAGTCATTAGGCTTATTTTGATGTCACCAAAATGATAACACAATTCTTAAGGTTTTCCCCTAAACATGTTGCAATTTAGAAACTTTCAATGCATTCAGAGACAGGAGATCATCAAGGCTTATGACTCAAGGTTGGATCATTCACACATTAATCCTGGAAAAATAGGGGTCTAGGGCACAAGGGAATGTGGAGTTGGCCAACTAAATTAGTAACCTTCACATATTTTTTCTTTTTCTTTTCTTTTCTTTCTTTTTTTGTTTTGCTTAGGCAATTGGGGTTAAGTGACTTGCCCAGGTTCACACAGCTAGTAGGTGTTAAGTGTCTGAGGCTGGATTTGAACTCAGGTCCTCCTGACTCCAAGGCCAGAGTTCTATTCACTGCACCACCTAGCTGCCCCACCTTCACATATTTTCAAATAAATAAGCCTATATTTTTATTTACTGTGATTGCAAGAGCTAGTCTTATATGTAGACTGAATAAATGTATACCTACATATCTGATTTCAGAGACTCGAAGAACTTCAAGTCCCTCCCACCCCCACCAGAAAAATACTACCCCCAAATTTTGTTCACTGTGCTTGAAATCTCACAAATGGAATTTGATTTGGTCTAAAATTGTGTCCCCTGTTCAGTTTCCTCATCTAGGGAGAACACTGTCACTACTCCCTTTTGGTGGCTCACCTGGGGAGCAATGATAGTGCTAGAAACCTAGAAATCATTGCTAGGTATGAGGAAGTCCCAGGTAAGAAATCAAATACCTTGGGAACACACCCTTCTAAAAGTCCCTCCCTTATCCTATCCTTTTGCCCTCTTATTTCTTTCTAAATTTAGGAAACTTTTGCACCCTTCTAGGTGTATATGTTGTTCCCTCTTTAACCTATTTCAGATGAGAGTAAGGTTCCAGCTCTACAAACTCACCCCTTGCTTCGTCTATATTGTTTTCCTTTCATGCCTCATTGGTATGAGATAATTATTCCTTTTTATTTCTCTCTACACAGTTTTATTTTTTAGAATCACCCCATCATTCACAGCTCAACCCAAGCCTTTCTTTCAAACTACCTAAATGGTGACATTCTTTATTAATTTATTTAGTTTTAGTTTTCAACATTCACTTCCACAAGATTTTGATTTCCAAATTGTCTCCCCATTTCTCCCCTCTCTCCCAAGACAGAGTGCATTCTGAATACCCCTTCCTCAAATCTGCCCTCCTTTCCATCACCCTCCCCCCCTTTCTCTTATCCCCTTCCCCTTCTATTTTCCTGTAGGGCAGGATAGATTTCTATATCCCTTTGCTTGTGTATCTTATTTCTCAGTTGCATGTAAAAACAATTTTTAACATTCATTTTTAAAACTTTGAGTTCCAACTTTTCTCCCTTCCTCCCTTTGCACCTTTCCTCATTGAGAAGGCAAGTAATTTGATATAGGTTATGGATGTGTAGTCATGTAAAACACTTTCATAATAGTCATGTTGTGAAAGACTGACTGTATTTCCCTTCATCCTCTCCTGGCCCCCATTTTTTTCTATTCTTTCCTATGACCATCTCCCTCCTTAAAAATGTTTTCTTCTGATTACCTCTTCCCCCCAGTAAGCCATCGCTTCTACCATCCCTTCCCTTTTATCCCCTTCCCCGCTATTTTCCTATAAGATAAGATAGATTTCCATACCCAATTAGGTGTGTATGTTATTCCCTCCTTAAGCCAAATCCAATGAGAGCAAGATTCACTTAATCCCTTTCACCTCCCCCCTTCCCCTCCATTATAAAAGCTTTTTCTTGTCTCTTATATGAGATAATTTACCCAATTCTACCTCTCCCTTTCTCCTTCTCCCAGTACATCCTCTTTCTCACTTCTTAATTTTATTTTTTAAATATCATCCTTTAATATTCAACTCACCCTGTGCCTCTGTGTATATATATTCCCTCCAACTACCCTAAGTAGGTAGTACTAAGAAAGGTCTCATGAGTTTTAAATACCATCTTTCCACATAGGAATGTAAACAGCTCAACTTTAGTAAGTCCATTATGATTTCTCTTTCTTGTTTACCTTTTCATGCTTCTCTTGAGTCTTGTATTGGAAAGTCAAATTTTCTTTCAGCTCTAGTCTTTTCATCAAGAATGCTTGAAAGTCCTCTATCTCACTGAATGTCCATTTTTCCCACTGAAGGATTATACTCAGTTTTGCTAGGTAGGTGATTCTTGAAGATTTTAATCTTAGCTCCTTTGATCTCCAGAATATTATATTCCAGTCCCTCCTATCCTTTAATGTAGAAACTGCTAAATCTTGTGTTATCCTAATTGTGTTTCAAACAATACTTGAATCGTTTCTTTCTGGCTGCTTGCAATATTTTCTCCTTGACCTGGGAACTCTGGAATTTGGCTATAATATTCCTAGGAGTTTTCTTTTGGGGATCTCTTTCAGGAGGTGATCGGTGGAGTCTTTCAACTTCTATTTCACCCTCTGGTTCTAGAGTATTAAGGCAGTTTTCCTTAATAATTTCTTGAAAGATGATGTCTAGGCTCTTTTTTGATCGTGGCTTTCAGGTAGTCCAATAATTTTTAAATTATCTCTCTTGGATCTATTTTCCATGTCAGTTGTTTTTCTGATGAGATATTTCACATGTCTTGTATTCTTTCATTCTTTTGGTTTTGTTTTATAATTTCTTGATTTCTCATAGAGTCAT